TTTTATTTTTTCTGATCTCCCTTGATGAATGGTGATTGCACAAGAGGAAATGATACTGTGGCAATTGGATCTCAAAAATGAAGCCTCCCTTTCAACAGTTTTCCTTTGATTTGGATCCATGCATGATGCATTGCCTAAAAGGAATGGGTGGTCAGAAGATGCAGACAAGTCTCCTCAACATTAAATCACAGTTTTCATGCTTCTGCTGCTGTCAAATTCAAGATGGATCTCCTCCCACTGCTGAGGAACACCACAGCTGCTGAAGTTGAGGCCAGATCTGTGGGAACTCAGAACTATGCCCATAGTCTTTCCTTCTTAAAACCACTGCCTGTGATTTTGATGTTAAGAGTCACACATGCTGCACAACTCTCTCTCTCTCTCTCTCTCTCTCTCTCTCATTTTCAAGTTGACAGAAGATCCTGTAAGCAAGAAAGTCCATTTAGGCTTGTCACATTGTTATGAAATGTGCAGCTTGGAAATGACAAATCAGGTTACTGCTATGCACAGATAAGAAATGTTCCCTTTCATTCAGTACAGAGCTGAATCCAATAGTTTGTAGAAAGAAAAGAAAAGAACCTAAAAATCCACATCAAGCTGCAACTGAGATCATTTTGAGCTAACATTATCTTTAGCCAAACCATTGTTCCTCCCTAAAACATCTACTTTGATAATAAGCTTCTATCTCCAGGGTGAAGGTATCGAATATGAACCTTCACTCTTCTTACGGCATCTGCTTTGCAATTAAGAACCTTTTCTGGGATGATGCTATCTCTTTTAGACTTGATTTTGGTGGAATTCACATGAGTTCCACATTTTAGATCTGTGAGAGGCAAACATAAGTTTCAGGGACGACCTAGTCCAGTTAAACAGTGATCTTTACCAAAGAGCAGATCCTGCCAAAATAATTGAACTGAGAGACTGACTGAACAATAGAAAAGGAAGAAGCTGGGCGCCTAAAAATCTGCAATTGACACCAAAGGACAGAGTGGCTTTTATTGTTTTTGGACATTGAGATAGTGGCATTTCTACTGCCACAGAGATGTTTCCTACCTTCACCTCAAACAAGAATTGTGTAGCTCCTTACCTGGATGCTACTTTTCATTTTGCTTTTAATCTGTAAGTTCAATGCAGAATGGTCCTTGTACCAATTTAGCTCAGGACCACTGACACCTAATGACAATTCCTTTTTAATCTTTTGCAGTGATAGACACCAATATAAATGGTTAATGAAAAGACTAACATTATGACTTTGATTACACCTAACATATTAGTCTCATCATCATGATGTACTAAATCTACTTATTAGAGATTATGGTTCAAAACCTCATTTGATAATTTTTGAAGATATCAATTATTTTGATTGGTAAAATTTTTTTTTACCATTATTAACAGTAGTATGATTCTGAGATTAAATTTCATCTTTATCAATTTTTTTTTTAAAGGAAAGAAAAAGGTCAGTTCAGCTACTGGTTTGCATACAAAAAAAACAGATATGATGAACATTTGCCATCATAGCAGACTGTTTACAACAAGCTGTATATTTTGGCTCCTACAATAAATAATGGGTAGCAATCATTACTGTCTCACTAATTTTGGCTGCATTTCCTCCATGATTGAGTATGATCATTGTAGTGGCAATATACAACTGCAGGTCATTTCAAGCCATGCATGGTTCAGCTGCATTAGGGTGGGGCAGGTGACCTTCGAGGAGGAACTTAATGAGAGGGAAACAAAAAGGTTAAAAGGTGCAACAAAAGGATTCACTTTCCCACAAAGTTTGCTGAGGAAAAGCACCAGAATTCCAGGGGGCTCTTGCTCAAAAGCTTCCTTTGCTTCAGTGGCTGTTCTAGTCTGTGTTGTTGTTGTTCATCATCATCATCATCATCATCATCAATAATATCATGACTCTATCTCTATTGCCAAAATGATTCTTCCCTCTTGAACTGTGAGTTCAGTATTAGGTTTTTTTTCTCACTCATCTTTTGTACCTCCCTTTCTGAGGGAAAAAGTAAAGTCATGAAGCTCCAAGATACTACCCAGTTCAGTTCTTCACCAAGTACTAATTGAAAAGGCCATTTTGGGATTTCAAGTCAGTGCCAGCAACTTAATATTGTTACTTATATTGAGTCAAATCCAACTGAAGATGGCTGTTGTAAATATTTTACACAAATTTTCTGGTTCTCTTGTTTCTCTTATGTGTTTGAATGGATCAAAATTATTTTCTCATCATGCATTCATGATAGTTAATATTTCTTTTCAACCCTGAAGTCCAAAACACTGGGACCAACATCACATGAGTATCATTGTCATTCATCTCCATTCCAGTCACTTTATCTTTGCTAGTATTTTGTTATGTTTTTTGTGCTTATAGAATTATTGTTTACTTGGGTTGAATACAGGGGTTGGGGGCTGCTTGTACTTTCTCAGGTGGTTCATTAAGAGGGTCAGGCTTAAAAACTAAGTATATTTACATATATAAATATACAGTAAAAGTCAGAAACTTGGTTAAAATATAACACAGTTGGCCAAAATAGACTCCCATGTTTTCAAGATAGTTCATACTTAGAAATTGTCCTTTTTCTTTTGAACCAATTCTTTATCCATGTATAGGTAATCATGATGCTCATGACCCAGCACATGCTTGTAGATATAGGTAATCATGTCATATAAACATTGTATTGAGCTCAAAATATTGTTGATATGGTATGCCTTAGCAAAAGGCAATCCTAGAGAGTGAAAGGTGAGAATTCCAAAAACTTTGGCTTGGTTTTTCTGGACAAGTGCCCTGAGATGTATGCAACAGAGCAGTCACTTCATGAAGCTTTGCCACTGTCTGTGTCAGGAATGCATGTGGTTTGGCTGCTACACCCAGGAGGGGGGGGGGAGAGACACATTTTTAACCATGTACTATGCTTTGATTAGATTCAGCAAACCAATGCCACCTCCAACTCTCTCTACCCAAGTCACCTTCACACTGTTTCCTGACCTGTCTACAGATCAACACTGTGTAGTAAAAGCAGTGAAAATTGTTCATGTAAGGATGAGACATGAAGGGTGACAAATGTTGGTGATTACTGTTGCACACTGTGTTACAGTGCAGAGGTAACAGGGACATATAAAGCAAGAGGCAATCAATAGAGATAGCTATGGCTCACTTGTCATTGAATGGATAGCAACATCCCACTTGCTTCATGGCTGGCTCCTGCTGTGACCATGGGTTGGATGAGTAGGAGGAGGTGTGGGTGTTGAGAGGGATGGAGGTGGGATGTGCTTGAGCCTGCCACTGTCCCTGCTGCAATAGTTTACTCCCCCACCATGGATTGAAGTCCCCCCAAGCCCTCCCCTTGGCCTTTTGACCTGGGAGTTTGGCTCTGATTGGCATCAATAATACAGGTATCCTGACTGACTACCTTTCCTTCTTGTAGGTTATCATCTCTTGGTTTCTATCGCACTCGCTTTTAGGTCCGTGAGATCTTGATGCTCGATAGCCCTACTGGGGAATAGTACACGAAATCTTGATTCTTGGTTTCCTGTGGGGAGGGCGGTACATGAAATCTCTTGGTTCTTGATTACTTTTGGGTGATTATAGTACATGAAAATCTGATTTTTTTTTTTTTTTGGGTATCAGTGCATGAAAAATCTGATTTTTACCACTTGATTTTTTGATCTCCGTTGGTCAAAAGCGCATGCGATCTTTGATGATGGACTGGAACGCGAACGCTTCCTTGCTGTGGGATTGGGACAACCACGCGCCATTTGGAGGGAACTGCAAGCTGTCCGCCGCCGCCGCCGGCGGCGCTTCCTCTGGCTCAGAACTGGGGAACGGTTCCTCATCCAAGAGCACCATCTCTGCTTCCTTTGATTCCTCATCCAAAGCGGGAAAGGAACCGGAGTTTGTCGCGAATCCAAGGAATCATGACAAGAACAGATTTTTACAGGAGTCTGATTGTCCCCCAGTTGCGGCGCTGGCCGCTGGATTGGAGGAATCACAGATAGGACTAAAGCTTGGGAAGAGGACCTACTTTGAGGATGTTTCAGCTGAGAGTAATGCGAAGAATCCTTTTTCGTCGTTGGATTCTGCATCGGCGGCGACTGCTCTGGCTAAGAAGTCGAGAGTGACTCATCAGAGTGCACAGAGTACCTTCTGCCAAGTTGAAGGTTGTAATGTTGATCTCAGTGAAGCCAAGGACTATCACCGGAAACACAGGGTCTGTGTAACCCATTCCAAATGCCCCAAGGTTCTCGTCGCCGGCCAGGAGCGCAGGTTTTGTCAGCAATGTAGCAGGTTACTTGGGAGTAAACAATTTATTATGCTTTTCCAAGAAATAGAGTTATTTCTATACGTGTCATTCTTGCTAATATTACTTACATCTGAATTGTTGAATATTTAACCAATCATTATGCTGCAGTCATCCCTTATCTTGCATGGTCTGGTTTGTTCATGTTTAAGGTTCCATGAGTTGTCCGAGTTTGATCAGAAAAAGCGAAGCTGCCGTAGACGTTTGTCTGATCATAATGCACGACGTCGCAAGCCACGGCCTAACTTAATCACATTCAATTCAACAGATTTTTCATCTTCATTTTATGGTATAAATGAATTCTAACTTCACTTTTTTTTGTTTTTGATCTTTTGTTATCCATATGGAATAAGTGAAGAAGCGCAGTTCGTGCTATGCTGTTTACAGACATTGTTTTCTCACATAAAATGGGATCGTAATGTACCTGTTACCTATCTTTGTCATCCTGAGTAAACTCCACTGCTATAACCTAAATGGAGCACTACATATGCTTTTATGAGATTGATTATGATATCCCTGCTACTTCATGTGTCTCCCTTAGCAAGTTAACCTTGCAAGACAATCTCGATGTTGCATTGCTGCTTTTTTTTTTTTTTTTGTTAGCAGTGGCTTACAAAACTATCCTTAATGTTCCTCTTTGCTGCTCCTGAAATGGTGATGGTCCACTATAACCGGAAAACATATATTTGAAACACAATCTTGTCCTTCACCTTTTCCTTTTCTGAGTTGATCTTGTAGTGTTTATATGACTGTTGACAGCACTCGGTTGTACATCCTCGTCCTTAGCCCTTCTAAAAGATTAAGAAAACTTAATTATGAAAGTGATCAAAATGGAAGCATAAGTTGCAATCAAAAGGTGCCCTAAGAATATGACTATGCAGATTTCCACTGTGCCACTTTACCTCAGGTGACTAAAAGCCTAAAAGCAATACTTATATTTTTACACAGATTGTTCAATCTTTTCATTTTATGGTTCACTTCTAGCTATGATAAATGAGATACCATATCCAAAGAACTATACTCTAGCAATACTTATCTTGCTTAAACTTCATTCTGCTGTTGTTAATTTTTCGTATACTATATCCAAAGAACAATGAGATACTTGTCAAGACTTGCTGCTTTGTTGATGTTGTAATGAGATACTTGATAATTTTATGACATGATTTTTTTTTATAATATTGCATTTCTCACTGCTGAAAGTTAACCGGCCTTTTGCAGATGATAGACATCATATGAACTTGCTATGGAATAAAACTCTGTTTGGTCACATGAGATCCATGGCAAGCACCACAATTGAAGGCTCACAAAATGACAAGCAAACACAAATGAGAGGCCCATGGGTGAAATCAACAAAAGAACTTGGCATTGATGAGCAGTTGCCTTTGCCAAACACCCAGCTATCAAATGGATTTTTCACACTTTATCATGATGTGGACAAGCTCTTACCACTCAAAGGCACTGCTGCCGAAGTACTCAATCAAGGTAAGTGATGTATTCATGCAAGCTATTAGTTCGAGAGCTCCATTTATTTGTTGCTTTTGCCCAGTGGTATATGGATGGTTCTCTATGTTCTGAATTGTTCTTCTCAAAATTGAAATCCATATCTCCCAAATGTGGCTGTTCAATACTTGTTTCCATTTTCACTATTGCCAAACTTATGGATAGATGAAAATACATAAATGCAGAAGAAACATTACATGTGTCTTTGTTCTTGAGTTTTTCTTTTTTGAAAAATCTAGACATCTTAATAGTGTCTGGGTAAGACTTTGCAGCAATGTGATGCATGATACACTGTATACTGTGTAACCCTTCTGCCTCTAACTTCTTCAAAAACCAAGTTGACATGAAATAGTATACCTCTTGTGACACTTTTAAGATTTTTCAGCTTTGGATATGTTTTGATTTAGTAGGATCTTCAGAAATATATCACCATGATTTGTTGGTTTTTTTCTGTCTTGATTTGGTCGTATCAATTTGATTGTCTGTGGTGACTTGTTCTGCATGAGGTCAGCTAGTTTTCATAAGCTGACCATTTTGTCAGGAGATCAAGTCTTTTCCCTTTTAAAATAAACAGAATATGGTGCATTTTAATTGCTCTCTTTTCTTATTAATGTTCCTTTTAATTGAATGTTTGTTGGATAGATAATTTTTCAAGCATCGCAAATTCATGTCATAGTGGGAGATGTTACCTAACTAAGTTTAAAAGTATGTAGTTATTCTAGTAGTCATGTCTGTTTATAAATCAACAACGAAGACCCTAACAAGCCTGTCATTGTCCTTGGCATCACCTTGGAATTGCTAGGCGACGAGCATCCGGTGTCTATATCATGGAAACAGTATTACTTCTGCTATTTGATTATTTTGGCTGCATCTATTTGAGGATCACTCCGTCAAAAAAGAATCACAATTTTTTTCTTTCTTAAATTCACTAGGATAAGACGATACACTTGAATCACAACTATCTTATAAATAGAGTAGGATAATTTCGCTAGCTTTTTCTCAATAAGTTATTGATCATCTTTTCTTGAAGACTTGAGCATTGTTCTATGAGATTTCATGACCCATGGAATGGGTGTAGTCGTGGTGTCCAGAATGAATCAAGCGCAGGAACCTTTAAAACATGTACATGGGGACAAACCTGCTCCATCTAGTTTCATTTGCATATCTGTTTGCTATGTGCTAAGCCTGTCAGATGACTGTTTCATGGTTCATTAAAGTTGACATGAAGTATGCGTAATGTTATTCTAGATTTTATGGTTTACACGAGCGTCAAAGTTCTCGATATAATGGTAACAGGACCACGATTTATTAGAAATTACGTATCAAGGAATGTCTTGAAGTTTCTGGTAATCCATGTAATTTCAAGCCTAAAAAACATTACATTTAGATGGTCCAGATAATACTGGTTCTATATCTGGCACATGTTTAGCTGTCATCGTGATCTTCCTTCAGGCAGCTGCTACCTATTTTCATCGGCCAATCACAGATGGAAAACTCATGCTTCTGGCTGCAGTTACTGAACAACAACAAAAATCATCTCTCTACAAAATAACGAACACCATTGAGAATGCAGCCATCCTTTATGTTATCAATGGTTTTGGTAACATATGTATGTTCTCTTTTCCAGGTTCAGAGGCATCTGCCGGAGCTTCGAACTTCGACGGAGCACCAGATCTTCGGCGTGCTCTCTCTCTTCTGTCAACCAACGCATGGGGTTCTCCTGACCCTGGACAACCATCGTCCATCGTCGAGTTTCTTGACACTAACCACCACAGCACAGCGGAGCCCATGATGCCTACATTGAACTCCTCAGGTCAATTTTTTCCCGGACAGTCTCTGGCTCAGCAAGCTCAACTGCTTCCATTTACCATGCATAGAGATGACAGCCATCCCCAGGGGGTTCAGCTGCAAAACAGGGACACTCTTTTCGATCCCCGTCAGATCCATTGATGCTGAGAAGTCAGATGGCTGGTACATTGACTTGGATCAATTGCTTGGAGTTTCTATTCCTACTTAGGATTCTGTCAGGAGATTAAGTTTCTTCTAACAATTGAATTTACTGCTGCTTTATAGATTTTGGCTGCTGCTACTGCTACTGCTACTGCTGCTATCCCACCTATATTGGTTGGTTCTCAACTGTTGCTTGTCCACAGTAGGCACTGCCAGGTAATGGTGAATTCATGAACATGATCTGTGTTATGATTCTGAGACTGGCCTCTTTTGTGCCTTCCCAAAATGTGGTTCTGTGGAATACTGCAAGGTTCGAGTGTTTCTTACGAGTGTTTCTTATGCATCGTGGTTCATAGTCAGAGGACAACTAAAACATGCATTGCTGCCCTAAATCATCATAATCAAACTAATAATGCATTGATTTCCATTGATAACAAAGTTATGCTACAACTCACAGAACATGATCAAAATTCTCAAAATAATAAAGACAATTAAAAGAATATTTCCCTTCTTGACTGTTTTCATATTTGTATCTCTGAATTTTTGGTAAAGAAATTTACCCTTACAGAATTCAAAAACTTGCATATACTTATATCTCGACTGATGGTTACACATAGATTAGTTTTAATACCCTTTATGTGTTCATTATGATACTAAGAATATTAAGGAGTACTTTAGATAA